TTCTAGTTACATTTATAGCCTATAAAGTCTGGATATGAGAACCATGGCAATCTCAAACAATACTATTACACTAGTGATGAGACTGATAGTAAAAAAGGAAAATGGACTCATGAATGGGTCAGTAGTATTATTAATGTATAATATAGTGTGTAAACAAACATCACTTCTTTACAGGCAAATCCACCACAAAATGTTTACCCAATACCATTGCGTGTATTCCTTGTAAGTGGTGACATAAAACTTATACATAAAGTACAAGAGTAAGTTGTGATATAGTGTATTGTTAACAATTATTTGTTATCAGAGCACTACGACAGTTATTAAAGAAAGAAGGACTGGCTGGGGTATGTACATGTACATGTATGAGCAGCAATATTGTTTACAACATTTATTTATTATTATTTTCACATATTTCAGGGAATCTATCGTGAACAAGAAAACTTTGATTTGATGTTGCCACTCACACCACCTGTGCTGCCAAACGTTTAAAATAATTATAATGACATAAAATGTCCTTACTTTGTTTACATGTAGTCATGTGCTGACCAAATGCTACACATTAATTGCTAATAACTATGACGCTGATTATTATAACTAGCACTTAGCTAAAACTATATTATAATTACGGTACTTTATAATTAAAAGCCAAAATTAAAATAAACATTGAATATTCATTCAATTAAAATATTAACAGACTGTGGGGATATCAAGTTTTTACCTTATATAAATTGTTGAAAATTTAGTACAATTACTTTTGTGATGAAAAAAAATCTGATCAGATTTATCAGATCCTGCACATCAGTGTAAAATAAGAGATAGGGAAAGCATGTGAAATATATGCATTGGAAATAAAACATAAACACCACTGTGTAGAATTAAAATCAGGAGAAAAACTGCAAGATATGATAAGCATATCATATGTACGCACTATACGCAGTACTAATAGTACAATGCTGAAGCAAAATTACTATCTGTGGGTCAATAAATTGTCAGGAACGATTTCAAGATTTTGCATAAGTTGTCATTCCTAACGTTGTAATGGAATACTTAATATTAAAATCAATGCATACATAAGGAGGGTGAGAGAGAGTAACAGAATATAAAGACAAAATTTGATCATAAGTAATGACAATTGGAAAGACAAGATTACTAAAATAACATTTTATCTAGAGAGAAAATTCAAAATATAACAACAACAACAACAACAACAACAACAATAATAATAATAATAATAATAGTTAAGATGCACATGTTCAGTATCAGAGTGTACCAGTGGATCCTAATTTAGTGAGATCCATTGAACTAAATGAATGTCCATATCCTAATGCTTGTCTTTTAGTGGGAGGAGCTCTCATTGGAGTAGGAGGAAAAGGAGGAGCTACTGATAGTGTACAAGTATTGAGAGTAGAATCCTATGAGAGGAGAGAGAGGGAGGGAGGGTATGTCACTCATAGTATTCCTACTAATACTATATTACTTACAAGATCAGTAAATGATTCATCCATTGTGTCTAACTGATCAACATTTTTACTAATAATATAAATACAATATGTACCACAATAATATCATAATATGTCACTAGTCTCTCTCTATACAGTATATCTATAAGTACCTCAATGGTGTGAATGGTCTTCTGTTGGAACGATTTGATATAGTTCTCTTCACTTTCCTTCTCATTCCTTTAATACTATCACTAATAATTAATAATCAAGAAATAATAGATTGATGTAATACATGTACACAAACACTTTCTTTCTCTCCCTCTCACCCCCCACTCTCTCTCTCTCTCTCTTACGTGAATGCTCTTTTAATGGTTCCAGTATCAATGGGTCCAATGCTACCTCCAGTCTTTGGCATTGAGTGTAATATATCTGATGAGGTCTTCCATACAAACATATCCTGTAAACAACAACAAACAAAAATAATTAAAAATAGAAAATATTAATAGTCACTGCCTTATGATACATACATATGTACATGTATAAATAAAATTTGAGCTAATTGAGCAGTTTTTGAGTTATGAGCATTTTAGGAATAGATTACTGTATAGATGAAAATTGGGGGAGGGGTAAAATTTTGGCAGACTACTATTGGCAAATTTTAATTTGGCAAATTTGTGTCCATGTGCCATTGAGCATGTACAATGTGCATACATGTAATGCATATTGCAATACATATTGATGTGGAGAAAGTTTGAGCTGATTCCAACTTAGTACACATGCAGTAGAGACTATAGTAGTAATAGTACAAACTATAGTACACACTTCCTATATCTAACCTCAATGCTGTCAGAGAAGAGGAACAATGCTATAATATCAACAATATACATATCATTTTATAACGGTGAAATCAATTACTGATCTAATATTAGAATATGTGAGGAACTCCAAGTATCTAAAAATAGTAACAAGAACAACTGTAATACATGTACATGTATGTACATTACATGTATATGTATATGTACATGCATGTATAC